TACACTGGGCACACGTATGTGCACAGAATTCCAACAGGAAAAGGGAGGAGAAGGGACTGCAGCATGGCCATTCCCCCTGGAGAGAGCAATTTCTCATTTTCCCTCTCAGGCAAGTGCATACCCTTATAGCACACACACACACACACACACACTTACTCTCTCAGTACATTGTTTTACCCAAAAATGATGGTTTCTTATTTTTCTCCCAATATGCATCTCTAGTTTCTCTGGAGATTTTTTTCCCCAAACTTTGGGCTGCCCCTTTAAGAAAATGTGCTAATCTGAATCAAGATAATGACCAGATTATTTTATTAAAAGAGCCATCATAGTAAAGAGTAAGGGTGTGGGAGGTTGCATTTGACTCCGTTCAAATGCGGGGCAGTATGGAAAGTGTCCTCTGGATCCTGCCATGTGCTCTTTGGCCCTTCAGAACGATACTCTTCCAATCAGTATTGTGCTGTGATCAGCGTCTAACTCACTCACCCACTGGTAAACATAACGTACTGAGCAGTGTGGGAGAGCTGACCACTGAGACTGCAGAGTGAAACAAGCCACTCCAACCCTGCATGTGGACGTGCCACAGGACCGCTCACATGGGAAAAGGCGGGGCAGGTGGCAGCCACGGTGCTCCCAGCTCCCACCCTTCCTCCTCCGTACCCCGCCGCAGGTAAGCTGCGGCTTTCAAAGGGATCTCAGGAGTGACGGCAGGTTGGAAAGGGGTGCGCTCCTCACTCCCAAGTCATCAAATATTTCAAAATGAAGGTCAGCTGTGTCTGTGAGGGACATTTGGACATTATCCAAAGGGCCACACAGCAAGTTGGGGGAGAAATGAAGGGCCTCAAAATGGCCTTGATCTTCCTAAGACAGCGCCAGTCAGCCCTGCTCATGCGGGCAGCTACCATGAACTGGCACTATTCTTATTCATTATTACTTTTTAATTGACAGAGGTGCTCCCATTCTGCAGTGAGAGACAGAGAGAAAGAGAGCAAGCGAGAAAAAGCACTCCCTGATAGGGTGCGTTCAGGCCACAGTCCTTTTTCCTCCATGTCTCCGATCGGTCAGGATTTGAGCAAGAAGGCACACACACCACGTGTTTTCCAAGTCACCCCAGTTAGGACTGAACCACAGTTAGCCACAGAATCCAACTCTCCGAACCACCGGGCTAAGAGGCCAGCCCTGGCACTATTTTTAATGCTGGAGAGCCAATAGTAAATTATAATAATTCACCTCAGAGGGTTTATAAGGAAGAGATGACTAATAAACACAGGAATAACTACATGTAACAAGCTCAGCCCAGTGGCTCAGCTGCCTGGCTGCTGCTACGTGGTAGTAGAGCCACTTGGGAGGCCTAAGTTTGGATCCTGGGTGGACCTGCATATCTAAGCACACAGGCCACCATGCCTCTGACTGGCTGGGAGGCTGGGGGGAAGGTCAGGGAAAAATACACACACACACACACACACACATATAATAAAATAAATAAACTTAAAAAAATAATAATGTAGGGGTCATCAGGTGGTATAGTGGTTAAGTTGCTGGACGCCCACATGGCCGACTGTGGTTTGAGTCCCAGATCTGGCAATTTGGTTTTCTCACTTTACCTCTGTTACTCTGGTGAGTGCCTGTGCCCTAAAGCAAATTTAAAATAATAATAAATAAAATAATCCCTAAAAAATAATAATATAATTGCAGACAAGATTCCATTTTACAATAAAAAGAAGCAGGGCAGTAGGCTGGACAGTGACTAGAAGAGATCTACTTGTGACCATCGAGGCAGGCCTTTGCCTTCAATTTTGAGTTTTTAGAGGATATCTTTAACTTAAAATCTAATTACTCTTTCAGAATGCCAATATTACATTACTCAAACTTCAAAAAACATTTTAATCATACACCAAACAAGGTCCTATACCGTAGGTTTAATCAATAGAAAAGTAGTTGATGTGAAGAAACAATTTTATTTATGAAAGTGCTATATTTGCATGCAGAATTTGGTAAAATATTAATACTGCTGCATGGTTGCACTTATAATCTCCATCCCCTAAAGATGTCGAAAAACCTCTAAGGAGTAGAAGACATGATTAATTCAACTAATATTTACTGGGTGCCTACAGGTACTGGGCCTAGAGCAATCAGTGGTGATCAAGAGAACACACATGCTCTTATCAAGATTAAAGACAATAACAATAGAATAATTAATAAAGGGAGAGAAAAGTCCCTGCCTGCATGGAGCTTACATTTTCGTGGTAGGAGAAAGGCAATAAAAAAGTACCTACCTCATAATTTGTCAAGTGGTGAGAAATGCAATGGGAGAGCAAAAAAGAGATGAAGTGCAATGGAAGAGTTCCTTGTGGATCAGGAGCAAACCACTCAGAAAAGCCCAGTCCTTCCAGGCAGAGGGACACCCAGAGCACAGCCCAAGAAGTAGGAGCATTGCTTGCTGTATGAGAGGAATAGCCAGCAGTGGCTGGAGTAGAAAGAAGTGTGTGTGGTGGGATGTAAGTTATAGGGTAATGAGGGCCAAGTCATGGGGCCTTGTTGTAAAGACCTGGCCTTTTTTTTTGAGAGTTTGTTTTTGCTCTAGGGTATGTGTACTCACCAGAAAGAGAGAGAGAGACAGAGACAGAAAGTGAGAAATCACCCCCCAGGGAGGATGGCCACACCACAATCCCTTCTCCATTCTCCTCTCGGGATCTTGGGCATGCACACACACCCAGCGTGAGTTTAAGCCACAGGGTCTGGGACTCGAACTGCGGTAGACAACATGGGAGTCCAGCCACATAGCCATTATGCCAACTGCTGGCTTTACTTTGACTTGGGAAGCCATTGGAGAGTTTCAAACAGTGGAGTGGTATGAGCTGATCATGCATGCTTTTTGTTTTGTTTTGCCTTTGTTTTTCTTAGAGGGCACATGCGCTCACCAGAGACACACACACACACACAGAGAGAGAGAGAGAGAGAGAGAGAGAGAACGGAAAAGAGAAACATCAACCTCCCCTAAGAGGATGGACATGGTGCTATTACTTCTCCATTGTCCTCTCAGAGTTTGGGGCATGCATGCACATGCATGAGGCCTGGAACTTGAACTTGGCCATGTGAGATCCAGCAATCTTGGTCTCTTGCCACCTACTGGGCCTGATCAGTATGTGTCTAACAGGATCACTTTGGTTACCATTTTGATGACAGACTGTGTACATGTGTGGGTAGGTGTGGATGTGTCTCTGTGCTGGAGAGAGGGGTACGCAGTGGTGAAGCAATAGTGGTGTCAGAAGACTACTGTAAGAATGAGCCAGGATAGACAGTGTAGAACTGATGAGAAGTGGTAAGAGCCCACAAATTGAAGACAGAGTCAACAAAATTGCCACTAGATTTATGTGTCTTTATGATAGAATCAGGGTGACTCTGTAATTTGGGGTCTGAGTCACTAGAAAAATGGAGTTATCCACTAATGAGTTACTCATTTGGAACGGTCCTGGGTTTGAATCCTGAGGCCTCCCTATACACATCGAGAAGATAAGAGGCAGAGGTTTGGAGAATGGGTTAGAATGGGACATTAATTCTTGACATGGCAGCTTTGAGGTCCTGATTAGACACAAGAGGAAATGTTGAGAAGTCAGTCGAATCCATGAATATAGTAGCTGAAAAAAGGAGGTGGTGGCTGGAAATCTACAAGGCATGAACATTCAATCATTTAAAGCTGTGAGATTGGAAACCATTTAGGATTAGGAATCTCAAAGTTTTTTGTGCCATAAACCCATTTGAAAGTCTATTAAAATCCTCAGACTTCTTTCCTTGAAATATTATAAATGCATAAAAGTAGAACATATTTTTATGAATTTTGGTATCTGTATAACTGGCATAAAAGAAAACCAATTGTAATGTTTTATGTAAACCAGAAATCACAATAAAAAAGTGTCATCAAAATATTTTTAAGTTATACTATAGTAGAACATGTACTTTTTTTTTAAATTTTTTTTTTTTTTTTGGGGAGGTTTTTCTTTAGGGCCGGGGCGCCACTTTTTTTTTTTTTTTTTTTTTAGCTATAGGGCACATGCACTTGCCAGACAGACAAAGAGAGACAGAGAGACTGAAAGCGAGAACTCCTCTCAGGATCTTGGGCACGCACGCACACGCGCCCGGCGTGAGTTTTAAGCCACCGGGTCCGGGACATGAACCGCAGTCGACTACGTGGGAGTCCAGCGACATAGCCATTACGCTAACTGCTGGTTCCCAGAACATGTACTTTTTATTAATACATTAAATAGTGAGATCTAGCAATGAGCAGAATAGAGTAACATCAATGAAGTTATATGCATACATATCTTAAGATATCTGTAACAAGTGAAATGAGGCAAAAATATCTGTAACTTTTCTTGGAGTTAAAGTTTGTAGTATAGCTAATATTACCTGGGTTTGGTTGCATATTTCCCAAGTGCAGGAAATGCTAAATTTCATCTATGGTTTAATGAAAATAAAGGAGAAAATTTCCTTCTCAGGTCAAAGAGGTCTGTAGGTATCAGGTTAACAATCCCTACTTATGGGTGAAGGTAGTTAGAGAACAGGAGAGGGCCAGAGAATGTAACCTAGGACTTTAAACATTAAGAGGAGCAGGACCAGCAGTTGGCGTAATGGCTATGTCGCTGGACTCCCATGTAGTCAACCATGGTCCGAGTCCTGGACCCTGCGGCTTAAATTCACACTAGGTGTATGTGTATGTGCGCCCAAGATCCTGAGAGGAGAATGGAGGAGAAGGGATTGCGGTGTGGCCATCTCCCCTGGGGGTAGGGGAATGATTTCTTGTTTTCTATCTCTCTGTCTGTCTCTGTCTTTCTGACAAGTACACGCACCCTACAGCAAAAACCTCTCAAAAAAAAAAAAAAAGTAAAACATTAAGAGGAGAAGCGTGAGAAGAAAGTAGCAAAGAAAACAGAGAAAAGACAAACAGGTAGCAGGAGGCCTGAGTGTTGCTGGTAGGTTGAATATAATGAAAGATGACATCTCACCTTGAGAAGAGCAGTTCTGTTCATGGTGGGGAGGAGACCTGGCTAGACCGAATTCTAGCACACAGAGGGCGGGAAAGTGCAGGTTAACAACTGCATTAATTAAGTTTTGCCATAATGTGGATTTTTTTTTAGAGGTTTTCGCTATAGGGCGCGTGCGCTCGCCAGACAGACAGCGAGAGACATAAGAGACAGAAAGCAAGAAATCACCCCCAGGGGGGATGGTCACGCTGCAATCCCTTCTCCATTCTCCTCTCGGGATCTTGGGCACACATGCACACACGCCCAGCGTGAGTTCTAAGCCACTGGGTTCGGGACGTGAACCGCAGTTGACTATGTGGGAATCCATACGCCCCCATTCTCACCCTCTGCCATTTCCCATCCTCCTCCCACCCTGTCTCTGGTTTCTGCATTTGCTTTCTATTCCTTTATTCTTTCCCACATTGTATTGATTCACAAAATATCTTAATTAATCTAAATACATTCAATAGTAAGTTCAGTTGATATATACATATCTGTGAAAAAAAGTTGACTTTAGGCATGAAACTCTGTGGGTAGAATGAATATACTATAAAATAGCACATAGCTGTGGTTAAATCGCTTACTGTGGTCACTAGGTATTTTTTAAATGCATTTTTTTTTTCATTTCAAGAAAGGCAGTCCAAACTTTAAAACAATGTTAAGAGACCTTTGCTTAATACTTAAAGCCAGGAAACAGGTTAGGATTCTGTTTGAATAGTAGGTACATGGACCTGTCCGCAACTCGAGGGAAGAGAAAACTCCTTAACAGTGGAAAACAAAGCACAGGTCAGTAACGTTTTAGTCAAAAGTCATACCATTCTGTTTCACCAGTTCAAACTCATGTACTTTATCTTCTGCTGTGGTCCGATCTTTCCATTTAAACTCTGGAAGATAATGTTCAACTCTGGTCTTGTCCCTACCATTAAGCCGGCCATTTTCTTAGCTGTTTTAGAAGTCTTATTTCTGTGTGTCTGGCTTTAGTTCTCGTGGGGTAACACTCCCTTCAGAACTTCTTGGAGAGCTGGTCTGGTGTTGGTAGATTCTTTCAGATTTTGTTTATCTGAAAATGTTCTTGTCTTCTCTTCCCATATGAAGGATAATCTTGCCAGATATAGTTCTTGGTTGAAATTGTTTTCAGTCAACTTTTGGAATATATTTTCCCATTCTTTCCTTGCTCTCATTGTTTCCGATGAGAGGTCTGCCGTTAGTCTGATGGGATACCCTTTGTAGGTAACTTGCCTTTTTTCTCTTGCCAGTCTTAGTATCTTGTCTTTGTGGTTTTGGTCATTCTGGCTATAATGTGTCTTGGAGATCTTCTTGGCTTGATCCTATTTGAGGTCCTTTGTATTTCTTGGGTCTGGATCTTTAATTGCTTCTCTAAGTTTGGGAAGTTTTCTTCCAGGATTTCATGGAATAGACTGTCAATGCCCTTATTAGTCTCTTCATCTTCTGGGATAGGATTATCCAGATCTTTGGACATTTAATGGTATCTAGTATTTCCCATATATTATTCTCATTTTGGGGGGTTATTTTCTCAGTCTTGTTGGTGGATTTTACTATTCCAGCGATCATGTTTTCTACATCTGAGATTTTATTTTCTATATGATCTAGTCTGCTTTCAATATTTTCAAAAGAGGTTTTGACTTCCTGTATTATAGCCTTCATCTCCAACAGTTCCATTTGATTCTATTTTATGGTATGTATTTCCTTTCAGCTCTCGCAAGAACTTCCTCACCTCCTGGAACTCATCAGCTTTTTTCTTCTGCTGTTCATTGTCTCTCTTCTCTTCTATCTCCATTAGCTTTGTCACCATGAATACTCTGAATTCTTTATCAGACATTTCCATGATTTCCACTGAACTGTGTGTGGATAAAGAGGAACTATCCTTTTCCCGTGTTGGAGAGGTATTTTCCTGCTTCCCCATATTTCTTGTGGTCTCATCCCATGGGTTATTCGTTTCTTCCTAATTTATAGAAGATCAGTCTGAGTGATCAGAGGAGCACAGGAGGAGGTGGTCTGCAAACTCTCTGGTGTTGCATTTTTCTCCCTTTGTGACATAGATTCAGTGGGAGTTGAGGAATGAGGACCCAAACAGAATTTTGGCAACTTTTCACTTAGACTTGTCCAGTATTTGAATTTTGGCAACTTTTCACTTAGACTTGTCTAGACACTCAGTGGGTGGAGGCTGAGCAGCAAAGTGAGGAGGTAAAAGAAAAAGGACAAGAAAACAAAGAGAGAAAGAAAAAAAGAGAGAAACAAACAAACAAAAAAAAACAAGCACATTTTAAAAAAACAAAAAGTGAAAACTGTGTGGTACACTCTCAGCTCTCATGGCAGACTTGGTCTTCTTCTGGCCTGCCCTTTCTTTTTGCCAGGGTAAATTCTCAGCAGAACATCTTCATTGCCCTTATCTCTGCAATCACTAGATCTCAACTCTCATGGTGGACTCCAAAGGTGGCCTTTTTGAGGAGAGAAGGAAGCCGGCTGGATGGTGCTGCAGAGGCAATGCCAGGCTCAGCGATGCCAGACCCCCGTAGGAGATCCTGCATTTGCGTCCCGAAGCCTGAGTTCTAACGGAAACTGCAAGGACCCACGTGCTGTGGCCAGTCCATGCAACACCCAGACATCACTGCCCTCCCGCAGAAACACACACTAACCATCCCACAACTTTGCGTACCTTTGCGTGACCACAAAAACACTCATAAAACAACTCACATTTGCTGTCACCCTATTTTTACTGTAGTAACAGATTCAGTCACTATGAAAGTTAAAAGAGAGGGCATACATCAGTAAGGAACTTGCTCCTGTTTAACTATCCTCAAGCCTATTCCTGCACTTGGCAAACAGCCTCAGTGGACATGCTCCGCTGCTTTATCAGTTCTTTTATTTACATGTGCGTTCATTCCAGCGCTGGTCTAGAATTCCAGTCCTTTGATAAGGAACTGTGTTTGTATTTAGGAAAACCTAGGGCTTCCTTCAGTATCAAGCCACTAAGGGACATTAATCACTAGCATTTTCAGTTTTACATAAAGCAAACTTAATTCTATGGGAAATACCATCATCTCAGTTACCAAGGTATGGCTATTAATGAACAGTTCTAATATAGCTATAAAACAGCTATTTACGGGGACCAGCAGTTAGCGTAATGGCTATGTCGCTGGAGTCCCATGTAGTTGACTGCAGTTCGAGTACCGGACCTGGTGGCTTAAACTCACGCTGGGAACATGTGTCTGCATGCCCAAGATCCTGAGAGGAGAATGGAGGAGAAGGGATTGCGGCATGGCCATCCCCCCCGGGGGGTGATTTCTGGCTTTCTGTCTCTCTGTCTCTCTGTCTCTCTCTGTCTTTCTGGCGAGCACACACGCCCTACAGCAAAAAACCTCTCCAAAAAAAGAAAAAACAAACACAAACCAAAACAACAACAAAAAACCCCACAGCTATTTATGCACGTAGGTGACTATAAAGTCACATGTACCATTTAAAAGTGAAAGTAAGGGGACCAACAGATGGCGTAGCGGTTACGTTGCTGGACTCCCACATGGCCAACTGTGGTTTGAGTCCCAGACTTCGTAATTTGAAAATCATGCTGGGAGCATGTGTGCGCATGCCTAAGATCCCAGGAGGACAATAGAGGAGAAGGGATTGCAGTGTGGCCATCCCCTCTGAGAGGTGATTTCTCACTTTCCCTCTCACTTTCTCCCTCTCTCTCTCTCTCTCTCTCTCCCTCTCTATCTCTCATAAACACACACGCCATAAAGCAAAAACCTCTAAAAAAAAGTGAAAGTAAAAGTTTGCAATATACACTTGAATACAGGCTTGAATAGATTGTTGAAGATGTACTGTGCAAACCATGTACAAAGCATGTGTCTATCACACAACATTTATCCCTCGTCCAAACTGGAGGGCGGGAAGCTTGGTTATCCGAATGAGACGTGGAGGGCACTGCTAACATAGGGGCCAACACAAATACAAGTTTATGGATACACCCTGCGCATATCCAAGAAGCCAGGTATTGTACATACATCTACAACCCAAACCTGGCGAGACTGGAAAAGCCCTGACAAGTGGCAACCAAATATCAACATTCAGCCTTCTGCTAAAAGGGACTTCCAGATATGTTAATTTTTAAAAAGAAACATAGGTTTCAAATACTCTCTTTTAGACTCTTTGCACTGAAAGACCTCTTGTGGACAAGTACAAAACGTAAACACGTACTGAAGCTTAGAGGAAATCTTAATGTGCATCCTCTCTCCCTGTCCATTGCCAGAGGACATGTGCTCTTGCCAGAGGAGAGAAAGCGCCCTCCCGTGGGTGTGGTCACACCCCCATCCCTTCCCTCCATTTCTCCCTCCCGTCAGGATGCAAGGCATGCACACAATCACCCAGCATGTTTTTCAAGCCGCCGAAGCTAGATGCAAACTGCCATTGGCCGTGTGAGATCTGGTTCCCTACATACAGGGCTTAACCACTGGGCTTCAGGGTGGCCCACACTAATCACCGAAGTGTAATTATGGGGCTGTGGTGACATAGGAAAACGGCCCATTAGTAGCAGGTGCATACTGAAGTGTTCAGACGGAAGTGCCTTATTATCTGCAATTTAATGTTTCAGATAGTTCAGGAACAAAAAAAGAGTGCGTGTGTGTGTGTGTGTGTGTGTGTGTGTGTGTGTGTGCATGCACATGCGCACATGTATGCACACATGTGCAGATAAAAAGACAGAAATGAGACAGAGAGGGGACCAGCAGATGGCATAGTGGTTATACCACTGGATCTCCGCATGGCCCTGGACCTGGCGGTGGTTTGAGTCCTGAACCCGGCAGCTTACAATTCATGCCAGGTGTATGTGCGTGCATGCCCAAAATCCTGAGAAGAGAACGGAGGAGAAGGGATTGCAACGTGGCCATTCCCCTCCCCCGGGTGGGGATGGTGGTTTCTTGCTTTCTATCGCTCTTTGTCTCTCTCTGTCTCTCTGGCAAGCGTATGTACCCTATAGCAAAAATCTTCCCAAAAAAGGAAAAAAGAAAGAAAGAAAGAAAAGAGACAGAGAGAAATGAAGAGAGATGGAAAATGTAGGAAAGTGTTAGTGGTTTTGTGAACGACATGGGATATTCATTGTTTTACGCTTTAAATTTTTCTATAGGTCTAGAAATTTTCAAAATAAAAAGTTGTGGGAAAAAATCCTCATAAATAAATATATATCAGTTTCACCCAACATCAGTACATAAATCTGTAAGGCATTCCTAATAGAAAATGAGTATATAATGTTTTATATGTTAAAAACATGATTCAAAATCAAAAGCATTAAATAAGTCAATCTTTTCTATTTTATTTTTTTTTAATTTAGTAGAGGGCATGTGTTTTGGCTGGAGAGAGAAAAAGAGAAAGAGAAAGTGAGAAATCACCCCCTGGGGGTGGGGAGTGGGGTGGCCACACCACAATCCTTCGCCTCCACTCTCCTCTCAGGATTTGGGGCATGCACATACATGTACCTGGCCTGCTTTCTAGGCTGCCAGTCCAGGACTCGAACCACACAGTTGTACTGGGTTGTCGGAAAAGTCATGATGCATTTTTGCATAGAAAGACATAGACTTTTCCAATGACCCAATACATGTGGGATCCAGTTGCCTTAACCACTATGTCACCAGCTATCCAAAACAATCATTTAATATGCATATACAATACAGAGTAGCATTCTCTATCCAGTGGTACAGAAGTCATATAATCCTCTAGGCGTGTGCCTCAGGACTCTCTGCTCTCATTGAATCTCAGTGTTGCTCATCAACTACTGTGTTTCAGTCTCCAACTTTTCAAATTCTCCAAAGGAGGCACTTCCTACTTTTTACCCCTTTTGAATATTGGGTTTCTCGCTTCATAGATGATCTCGTTTCCAGCTTCCGAGAAAGCAGAGATATCGTCCTCTGCATTTCCAGGCGCACAGAGGGCGTGTGCTAATGCTGGTGAGTGGCTCTACCTGCCGGTCCCAGGTCTCATCTCCCTTGACGCCGCCCACCATGAGGATTAAACAGATTTCCCAGCCACTCTTGTAGTTACGCTGGCCGTGTGACTTAGCGCTAGCCAACGAGATGCACGCAGAAGTTTCCCAGAAGCCTCTAGAAACACTTCCTGATTGAAGGACCAAGAGGAGCCAACACCATCACTACCCCCTTCTTCCTGTCTGATCACTGTGAGAAAAAAAGGCCAAGACAGATGCGGATGGTTAGTTGCAGGAAGGCGGTGATGTCTGGGTGGACTCTTGCAGTGATGCAGCCCCTTCCTGTTGGCCTCTTAACGCGCAGGAGCAACGTCCACAACGGCTTCCCTTAATTTCTTGTCCAATCTTGTCTGAATTCTTACCTAAATTTCATGAGAAAAATGACCTTCGCTTGAGTGAGGTACTATTGGTGACTGGGTTTTCTATTACTATAACCGGCCAGAACTAGCCTGGATGAAGAGACCTGTTGTTTGTGGGATTGGCTGGAGGGCACACACACCAGGGAGGCTGAGTGACCTAAGGTTGACCCCTGGTGCAAGAAGGGAGTGTGGATGCTGGCTGCCAGGGTGTAACCAGTCAGAACAGTCCCAATTTCAATAACGAAGCAATGGTGAGCCAGTAGGTGATGTGGTGAAGATGTGGGATCCCACGTGGCCAATGCCATGGTTCAAGTCCCCAGCCCAGTGGACTGAAAAACATGCCGGGTGCGTGTGCCCAAAATCCTGAGAGAAGAATGAAGAAGGGATTGCAGTATGGCCATCCCACCTAGGGGATGATTTCTCACTTTCTCTCTCTCTGTCTCTCTCAACTATGGCCCCCCAAAAAATCTAAAATAAAAATAATAGTAATAATAATAATAATGTACTAATGGAACTGCTACTTGAGTTGAAAAATTAGAGCTGCACAAATTTGAATCCTTCATTTGGGACCAGAAGATGGTATAATGGCTACATGGCTGGACTCCCACGTAGTCAACTGCTGTTCCAGTCCTGGACCTGGTGCCTTAAAACTCACACCAGGGGGACCAGCAGTTAGTGTAATGGCTATGTCGCTGGACTCCCATGTAGTCAACTGTAGTTCGAGTCCTAGACCCAGTGGCTTAAAACTCACGCCAGGCACGTGTGTGTGCATGCCCAAGATACTGAGAGGAGAGTGGAGAAGAAGGGATTGCAGCGTGGCCATCCCCCCTGGGGTGGGGGTGATTTCTCATTTTCTATCTCTCTCTGTCTCTCTCTCTGTCTGGAGAGCACATGTACCCTATAGCAAAAACCTCTCAAAACAAAACAAAACAAAACAAAACAAAAAAACCTCGCACCAGGCACATGTGTGTGTGCCCAAGATCCCAAGAGGAGAATGGAGGATAAGGAATTGTGGCATGACCCTCCCCCCAGAGAATGATTTCTCCTTTCTGTCTCTTTATCTCTCTGGGCAGCGCACGCACCCTATAGCAAAAATCTCTCTGAAAAAAAAAATCTTTCATTTGCATACGTAGACTTGATTGAGGACTTGGATGGGAACGATTCCTCTAGAAAAGCCCATCCAAACGTTTGGGGAGACCATCTTTCGAGCACACACAGTTGCCTCCCTGTTGACATCACTGGTAATAAAACTCGACAAACCTCATGGGATGGAGGTGGTATTTTCTAGCAGCGAATGGCTGATTCCCGGTCTATACCTGGTGAAGTTCAGTAATATTATGAGGGGGGAGTCTTCAGAAAGTGCATGGAACATGAATATTGTGCAAAATGCTATGCATGAATTTCAAAGTTTTTCATACCAAAATAAACAAAGAGATGCATTTCTCCATCTACTTTTGGAAGTCCCCTCGTATTTGCAACGGAAAGCACCCCTAACTGCTAGGGAACCTACTTCTTTCTCTCTTGCAATGATGAGAGGCTCCTTAACCAGTTCCACGAATCTCATCCTCTCGCACTTTCTTGGAGGCCTGCCTCTATGGGTTGCAACTTCTCAACTTCAGCCTTTCACACGCCATTGGTTACTTCACATCATTAGTGTTTAAATACACTCAATCTTTACCAGATTAAGTAAAAAATGAAACTGTCCTTCAGCCTCCCATTTTTCTCCAGCTACAGCTTTATCTTTACCCTCTCTTTCCC